GGCATGATTTGCCCTTAGTGAAGCTATGCTGGCTGTCACCAATCACCTTCTTAATTTCTATGTGCCCTAGCATAGTTTCCAGGAAGATCCGTTCCATGGTCTTGCCAGGCACAGTGATGAGACTAATTGACCTGTAGTTCCCTGGGTTTTCCTTTTTTCCCTTTTTAAAAATGGGGGTTATGTTTCCTCTTTTCCAGTCAGCGGGAACTTTGCTGGACTGCCACAACTTCTTAAATACGGTAGATAGTGGCTTTGCAACTTTATCTGCCAGTTCCCTCAGGACCTGTGGATGTATCTCATCAGATCCTATGGACACATTTTATGAAGCATGAGTGGGTGGATCTAGGACACCTGGAGTTATTTGACGAGTCTCAGAACATGTATGGCAGAGTAAGCCTGTTCTCCCTTCTCTCTGTCCTTCCCTGTTACTGTTGTTCATGATAAACACGACTCATGCTCTCTACTTAATTCTTACAGGTGACATTCCTATGTATGTGGTTTTTCTGATCACTATGTATTTTGATGTTACTTAAATACTTCTTACTTTAAAAGAAAGCTATGTCTTACCACTGATGGTCCCCAGACTGCAGTACTCTAGAATTCACTCTCTTCTGGTTTGCTGGATTCTCAGTCCATAGCTTCTTCGTCAACCATTTGGTATGGGTGTTCTGTTAGCCTCTCCTTTTGAGAGCTGGAATTTCCCATGCAGCTGCAAAAGCACTTCTCCATCTAGAGCTGATCCAAAGATCTCCATGTGGTTTGACCACTAATTTTTCAAGAACTGAAGCTAGGGGTTTACCTCCTTAGGAGCACAACATATTGAAGAGAGACCTCTGCAGAACCTTCTAAGCACAGTTTCTCATAATACTTGTTCTAGATGAAAGTGGGCAGCAAGTTGTATGCCTACCTTGCCTATACATTTGTCAGTGTTCAGACATTTTTTGTGATCATTACCTCTTAGGACAAGAGGGAATGGCCTCAAATTGTGCCAGGTAAGGTTTAGACTAGATATGAGGAAGTATTTCTTTACAGACCAGGTGGTTAGACATTGGAATGGGCTGCCCAGGGAGATGGAGTCCCCATCCCCGGAGGTGTTTAAGAGTTCAGACATAGCGCTGAGGGATATGGTGTAGTTGGGAACTGTCAATGTGAGGTTAATGGTTGGACTGGATGATCTTCATGGTCTTTTCCAACCTAGATGATTCTGTGACTTTGATGCATGTTCAGGATTAAATTCATGGAAGTCTCTTAAGATTCAGAACATTGTATTGTTTCTCAGCTGGGGATGATTTGGCAAAGCTCTGGCAGAAAGTATTATGCTCAGCATGTCATAAACCAGTCATGATACAGTGTTTGTTAATAGCTAGACCTTTAATTGCCTGTAACGTGAGTCTTTAGATAATCACAGTTTTAGTGTACTTCACCACAAAATTACTACCTCACATAGAGACAATCTTAATTTTCCCCAAATATCTTTCAGACCATACTTCAGTTTATCTTACAGTTGATTTAAAGTCCCTTCTTGCTTGATTCCAGATCAGGTAGATGGTTTTATTCCCTTGGCACAATGCTAGGAAAGCTGTCTTGTTTGAGCTGTGTATAACAGGGTTTTCAGTTCTCCTGGCATACAGTCCTTTGAAGCAGCAGAGCAGTCAGCATAAAGTAGCACAAATAAAGCATTTGAGCAATGTACCACTGAATAGAAACACTGAAAGATCTTGGAGATAAATGGCAGGTGAAGAATGCATAATGTGCAACAGAGGCAGTAACTGCTTGCTCTGGAGCATGGAGCTAATGCCACCATCAGTTTCATCCTCTACTCTCATAGGAAAAGGGTATCAAGTCACTGGGACACTCTGGGTATAGCAAGCCATGCATTTATTTGGAAAGCAATGCCAATTTGAGCAGCTCCTACTCTGCTACATCCTTGTTGACTATGTTGTGAATTGAATTGGGGAACTGATTTGTTGGAAAAATAATTTGGCAGACAATTTTGTTTTTAACAAGAGTCAGTTACAGTTTGTGCAGTGGAAGGGCTGACACGCTGGGAATTACTGCTGTAGGTTGCAGTGAAAGGAGGGACTGGAGCCTGGCGCTGCTGTTTAAATAAGTGTATGTGTAACTGTGCCCTTGGGCTCCACGCCCAGGTTTTATGAGACTGGATAGAAGCTGGAATAGGGAAGTGGTTCTGTTTGTTAAATAAGTAAAACATGTTATAAGCAACTCAGGTGTGGATAATCTTGATGACTAATCATTTTTCCTTTATGTTGAGTCATTCTGTTAGTTTAGAATGATTATGTGTGGGGTTTTTGTTTCTTGTGGGCTTTGGTGGTGATTTTTTTGGAGAGAGGTGCAGATGTGTACCAACACTTTCAAAACTGAAACTGGAAGGAATTACTATTGCTTAATTTCTGTGTAGGATTGGAAAAGTAGAGAAAGAGGAAAGATGCAACCCAGTGTTGCAGCCAAGTTAGAGTATTCATCTTCAATTTTGCAGTTTCTTGCATTTCTAAGAATGTCTATTTGCTTAGTTCTTATATTAAACCATCCATGTACTCTACAGCTGAACAGCATTTCAGTTGCATGAATAAGTTCTTTTGTCTTTCCTTGAGAAATTGCATCTCATGGAATGAATTATGTGTGGTTTTGCTTTTATTCTAGAATAAATGTTGATGAAAATCTGAGAAGTGACCTCATAGGGTCTGGTACCTGCAAAAGTTTCACTCTTGCTGTTTTTCTGATAACACTTGTTCAGGAGCTTATGTGATCCTACAATGTTGACCTAAAGCAATGAAGATAAACAACTGTGCTAACTGATGGCTTAGTAGTCCATGTAGTTTATGAAACAGATAAGTGAAAGTATATCTCAATTATTTTTTACTGTATTGTATTTTCTTTGGTAATTAAATGTCTGTCAGCTTGTTGCCAGTTGATACTTGCAGCTTATTGTATAATTTGAGATGGTATATGAATTCTGTAACAAATTAGTAATTAACAGAAGCATTTTGGACTGCCCATTTTACACCCTCTGTATTTATACTAGGCATTTAATTGTTTATAATTGCTTAAAAAAAAAAAAGTCAAGCAAAAGAGTTCTTAGTGTTTCCTTTGTGATGCTTTTACAGAGTTCAATAAATATCCCTGTTGTGATCTTTTTTTTCTTCAAATTTTCAATTTTGTTTCTCTGTTTGCATTCAGTTACTTGACTGATGTGAGAGTACCTTTCCATTCATCCTGACTGAAAAACAAACAGCAAATATGAGGTGAAAGAGAGCTGGGTATAAGTGTGCACAATGTATTGTTGACTTCAGGAACTCTACAGTTCTAAAGAGCCTCACCTCTTCTATCTTAATTCTCAGAAGTAACTGAAGGCCATGCTGTTGTGTGACTCATAAAATACATTTAGGGCCAGCTATGTTAAAATTTCTATTAGTTCAATTGTACAACTTTATAGTGATTATAACATAGCTCATGTGGATTATCTACTCTTAATATTAAGAACTAAGAGGAAACATTTGCATAGACAGCAAATTAATGAATATGGTTAGTAGATATTTTAAAAGAATACAGTATTTGTGGCTGACATTGAAGAGCCGTATATTAAATCTGATTGTATTTTCCTATGAGGATATCATCTATCAATTGTCAAATGATGCAGGTATTTTAAAAAGAAATTTTAAAAAGTTCAGTGAGCCTTCATTCTCTGCATCAGTCAGCAACAAGAAAAGAATGGTGTAAGAAAAAGCTGGTAGCGTCTGGTTGGCATCCATTCTCAATAATTTCTGTAATTGTCTACAGTTAAAGGAAAAAGTGATAACAGTTATTGACACCTTCCAGCATAAGGGTAGCCTGACATCTTAGTTGTCCCTTTTCAGGGCTGAGTAGGGTTTTGGGAATGACACTGGGGACACCTGTACAGGTGGAGTTCTACAGCTTTGTGTCAGTATGGAGCACAGACAGAGTGACAAATACTTATTTTGAAAAATTAGCATTTACTTACATTCCTCACAAAATTAAGGTACTAGCCTCAAAAGGAATGGCTTGCTTGACAAACTTCAGTAAAATTCTGTAAACCTCTCGGAAACTGGACATTTGTATTTCTGCATGCTGTATTACCTCCCTACAGATAATAAGTAGCAAACTATCCCTGACAAATATATTTTTTGCAAGCTTTGTGATAAATAATTATTTGGCTCTTCTCTGTACACCTCTGTCCCTTGCTTGTTACTTTGTGTATTTTTGTTTTTGTGAAGAAGGTCTCATGAGAAACTAATAGTATAATTAGGATTAGCTGGTGGGCAAAGGCTTGATACTACTAATTTTAGACTTATCAGGAATTTCATATGTAGGAATTTGAGAAATAAAGAAAACATGGCATTCCTTTCATCTCTTTCCAAATGTAGGACTCTGCTAGTTTGTTGGGCAAGCTGTGTAAAGTATTTAAGGGCATGGATATTTGAGGAATAGTTCTAGCTTTCCACAGTAGAGAAAGGGCTATCTTCTTTTCCAGGGAGGTATTCTGGGATGTGCCATCTAGTCCAGTGTTGACCACCATTACCTTTGTTTTGACAAAGGTAATGCGTAATTTGACAATTAGTATGTATAATCTTAGTGATGAAAGTATTAGTTGGATATTGTCAAAACTGTACAGCAGTCTTGATGAAGGATGTCAGCATCTAAAGAGTAGTAAGTTTGGATTGATAGGCAGGAGAACATTGCATATTTTGCTATCTGATCTGTATCAGTCAGCTCCTTCTCTAGTTTTGGAGCTTGCTTGCTCTAATTATATTGTAGACCTGTAAGATTCTAGCTGTATGGTTCAAGTTCATACATCAGAGTTTTGAATTGTAAATGCTATTGGGTGCATTCCTGTGTTAAAATACCAAAGATACATTGTCTATATTATTTGTAATAATCAGTATGAAATGATCATGTTTTAAATAGTTCAAATACATAGACCCTGTGTGTTTACCTGAAAATGGTTTTATGTTTTCCCGCAGCTAACAGAAGATGAAATTGCAACTATTCTGAAATCTACTCTTAAAGGACTTGAATACTTGCACTTTATGAGAAAAATACATAGAGATATAAAGGCTGGTAACATCCTTCTTAACACCGAAGGACATGCAAAATTAGCTGATTTTGGTGTGGCTGGCCAGTTAACAGTAAGTACCCGTGGAAAGATCATTTAAAAATGCTTTAGTGCTCCTAACCATAGTCTTCTACTTTTGTCTTTGTCTTCTGTTTTGATTTTTGTGTCTGAGGAGTGATGAGTGGTAGTGGTACAGCTAACATTCTTAATCATGATGGGTATTTAATGTATTGTAAGGCTATTAAGTTTTTAGTTGTTTATAACCCAGTGTACTTCAAGTGTCTGATGGTCTCACTTCAGACTTCTGTTTGAAGTTGGTGATCACTGTCACTTGTTTGGCTTCTCTAGGCTGATGGGCTGAGTCTGCTTGGTCTTAATTGAAGGTCACTACCATTTGACCTTTGGGTGGCTAATTTAACTTTTAAATATTGAATTAATAGAAAAAGAATCTGAAAATAAGCATCTCTGTTTTAATTGCATAAATAATATAATTACAGGACACAATGGCAAAACGTAATACTGTTATAGGAACTCCGTTTTGGATGGCTCCTGAAGTAATACAAGAGATTGGTTATAACTGCGTGGCAGACATCTGGTCCCTTGGTATCACTTCCATAGAAATGGCTGAAGGAAAGCCTCCATATGCTGATATTCATCCAATGAGGGTAAGTGTGTGTGGTGGTCTTCCATTCTTTGTTAAAAAACAGAACCCCAAAAAACACCCCCAAACCTCAAAAAACTACTGGAATCATAAAACTGTACATTTATGGACAAAGATTTTAAGACTAAGGGGTTTTTTATTTGCTGTCTTGTTTTACTGCAGCTTGCTTGTGTTTTAACACATCCCTGTAAGGTTTCAGAATGCTTTTATTTCCACTTGTGAGAGAACTAAAGCAATAAGTGCTTAATTGATTTGAAGGCAACGTATAGAACCTATTCAATATTGTACCTGCACTTGGAGGGTTCCATAACCAAGAGGCCATCCTCCTTTGAAAGGGAATTTTGAAGTAAAGATGACCTAAGGAAGGATTCAGGATTGTCCTATGTGGTAACTGCTAATATTAGTAACCCAGCAGTTTTAATTTATTACTGACTCTTAAAGTCTGCTACTGAATAGTTTACTTCTAGCAAAATAAAATTTAAACAGAATTAGTTGCTTTATGAGAAGCAGCAGTTATAAAGGAATTACTGGGTGAAGTTCATGGGGAACAATTATTAGGAATAACTGTTGCCACTGTTAGTCATGTTTTTATTTTTTGAAATAAACTATAGAATAGCTACAGATTGCACTGAGCATTAATAGATACTCCGTTCTTGAATTGTTTATAACTAAAGCCTAGTCGGTATTAATAAGGTACTTTATTTTGCTAAAAGCAGATTTTTTTCATCTCCATTTTGCGGAAAAATGACATGCACATAGAATACTCAGTTTTCTTTTGCTGGTGCCTCATATATCATGATCTTAATATAAGAAAGCCACCACTGTTGAAATAGAAAGTTACTGTTCATATATGATTACTGTAAGGTGACTCGTATATGAGTTCAAGTGTATTTAGTGCTGTTGGGTTCTTGATTTTGTTTGTGTGTGCTTGTTGGAGCAGAGAAGTTTCCTAAAGTTTTATGGCAATGTGAAGCTTGGTTAAAGCTAGCGTTTTGCATTTAGAAACATTACATAATTTTGGAAGCAGAGCTTAGTAATTTTCCTGCACCATATTTTTTTCCTGTGCAATTAACTATTTAAAAATTACCGTTCAGACTGAAAATACTCAGATGAAATCTGAGAACAAAGTAAGTATCTCTGAAGCTTATTTTTGATGGGAATTTAATTTAAGATGAAATAACTTTTTAAAAATATTTGAAGAACTGTTGATTACAAATTAAATACATTTGATCATGCTGGGGTTTTTGGTTGTATTTTCAATTACATTAAGTACATTCATTTTAACATTATTATATGTAGTTGCACTAGCTGCTGAAAGGCAAGGACTACATTATCAGAGAGGATTTTTATATGCATGACAATAGCTGCTTATAAATCAAAGGTCACTGAGTTTGAAAGCTTGTGAATCTGTTTAATTCTTGTAATCAAATGAATGCTATCAAAGGCCAAAGTAATTTAACACAACAATTCTGGATTACATAGAACATGTGTTCTTGTTAATAAATAACGTTACGGTTTTTAAGGGCTTGTATGCAGTTAGTACTCTTTTGTATATCCGATACCTACAGTTTTTCTTAATTTTTATTAGTGAGTTGTTACAGTGGTTAACAAGAAATACACAGATTTAAGTTGCAATAGTTTTCCCAGTGTCATATGATATAGCTTCACAGGACTTTTGGACATATGTAGATGCTTTCCTACTTTGTTTTAGTTGTGACACAGAATTGATACAGGCAAGCATGAAAGCTTGGGTAAATTTTCATTGCTTTTTCTAGATGTTGCTGGAGTTCTGTGGTATTTATGTAAGGCACAATTTTGTTAACTTGGGAATGCATGTTGAAATTACCATGTGCACTATTTTGCTGTAGGCTGGTTGGCACTGCCACAAAGGTAATGCACTGCCAGTAGGCCATTTCCTTGTCAACTGCATTTACAGCTTAATAGAAATATTACATGACTTCTTTAAACAAGTGTTTTGGCAGAGAGGAAATGGCAGATTCCATGCAAACAAGCATAGCTTCCTCTGCTTAACCACACTCTAGCTACTCCAAAGAATTGTACTAGTTTCATCTGGGAAAGAATGAGAGGTGGGGGATGCAAAAGGGAATTTCATGTAGAGGAAAAAAACGGCAAGTTTCTTCTTCTGTTTAAGTATTCCTGATTTAGTATATTTGACTGCATTGGTGTCATCAATGCTATTTCATTTGTTCCTGCTGCAAACCCGAGTACAACAGAACATGCAGTTGTCATACTCAGTTTGAGGCTTAGAAGTCAAGACCAGTTGCCAGCTCAGTAAGTCTAATGCTTTATTCACCTAAGAATTGCAGAATGCCTCACATATATGATGTCCTTTTGTGTTTTCAATAATGATGAAAAGTGAAACTTCTGTATTTTCTCTTGAGTTTTTCAAGTAGTGTTTTCAAGTAGTTTTAAAGGAGGAAAAATACAGACATCCTTGAGGTTGCCCTAAAACATGGTGGTACGGCCACTAGAAATAGCAAGAAGTTTGCTGATAAGTCAAAAATCACTCAAACCTAGATAATTTTACCATCCAGTGGGGCTAAAAGCATGTTGATTGCTGTAGTCTGTGTAGCAACCAGGGTTAATGTGGCTAACAGGGTTTGCATCTGCCTTTGATTGTTCTGCTGGGATGAGCAGTTATTAATTTATAGTGAAGCTAATTAAAGGGGGCTTCAGTGTGGTTCTAGAGCAAGACTCAATCTCCTACTCTGAAGTTGCAGTGATGTTTTAACAGCTGTGTTCCCGTGTCCCCCATTGACTGTGGCATGTATGCTGTCCTGTAGTGATAAAAGTATTTATGTCCTACTGCTGTCTGAATTTAATTTAAACCATTAACTACTTTGTTCAGTCTCTCCTCTTCATGCAATATCTGTCTTTATTATTTGTTTGTTTCTGAATTCCTTTTTTTTTTTTTTTTTTTTTTTTTTTATAGTGGAAACATAGAGGTTGGCACTGTTTTGCTTTTTGGGAACATGCTTTTGAAATATCTTCCATGTTTGCTAGAACTGAGCTGGAGAAGTTGTAGATGAACCAGGGAAAGTGGGCTGAGTGGAGTTACTGCCTTTGGCCACAGCCATGCAATGAGCCTTGTAGAATAACTGTAAAACTGCAGCCTGCTTTTTATAAAATTTGGTTGTCTTTGCGAGTTCAACACTTACTGTCACGTTGGTGTGCTTCTGATAAATGCTGGTAGTACTCTTAAGGAAAAAAAAAAAAGAAAAAAGGCAACGCTCCCCCTAGACTCTCTTCTTTCATGCTTATCAGGCATCTGCAATAATTCACGTTGCTGTGGTATGGAAGAAGCTGGTGGTAGATGTGTTTTTCAACACCTCACAGTATTGGCCTTTGTTTTTTATGGTGAGGTCTGTTGAAAATGGACATGTGGGCATCACATGTTCTGCAGTGAATTGGAGGAAGCCAATTTGAACTGCTTCCATAGGCCTTAAGTCCAATCATGATATTTATTTTTCCATGGCACTTACCCAGATTATCCATGCCTCCTGCTTAGCCTGTGTCATTTCCACCCTGGGCTAATCTGTTTGTAATAACCTTTTATTCCTGATGTAGTTTATGAGAATCTACCATTTCCCAGGTTTTTTTATTCTCAGCATACTGCATTAAAACAGGAGACTGAAGTGAGAATTACTGCAGTGTGAGACTACAAGATTCAAGGAAGGTGTCACGTTGAGCATCACTGTATGATTGAGACCAGTTTTTCAATCATTGAGAAAATAGTTTCCTGTAATCCCTTTTGTGCCAGAAGCTGAGAAGAGGGAAAAAGAAAAACTACTTCTGGCAATGTCAGATGTCTTTCTGTATAGCCACTCTTGCATTTCTTCTGTCCAACAGATGGAATTGTATCATTGGTTTCTATCCTTTTCTTTGAGAGTTCATCTATCTTATCTCTGATGTTAATTTAGAGTAGGTTTGTAAAAGTATGTTAAATGGTTTTCTTATTTTAGTGCTTTTGCTTATCTTTAGAAAAGAGTTTTAGTTAAACTCTAAAAGTGCTTTTCCTTTTAAGAACTTTCTATGAGATACTTTTTGTTAATTTGTAACGAGATCTTGTCTGCTGTTTCTAGATAGTTAGCTAATATTTAAAGAGATTTAAACTATGGATTTTTGATTGTACATTACTGTTTATTATTTTACTACGTCTTCAAAACCTTCTAGAAGAATGTCAGTGAGCTGTGGTGGGACTCACTGAGTGTGGTTTCTCAGGGAGTCATAATTCCTCAGTATTTCTGTTGTGCATTCTGTTATGATAGTTCCCTGTCAGTTAAATATCCTATGTGCTTTTAGGTGACCTACTGTTTTAAGATTAATTTAAAATAGTTAAATTTTAAGTCTTGAGGAAAGTGTGTGAGACCCTAACACGTCCAGTTCTTTGAATGGCAGGAATACATATAAATATGATTTTGTAGCCTGTCCTACCTGTCTGGACTTTCTCTAGTTGGGCATATCAGCTGAGACAGGGTGTTAGACCTTCCGTGTGTGTGTTGTCCGTGTGTCGTGTCGTGTGTGTCCTCCCCCCCGCCCAAGCCTCCTTCCTTCTCCACCTCACCTGTTTGTCCATCTTTAAATGCTGTTGCCATGATACAGCTGAACTTCATGGGATAAACTTCCAGTGGCCTTCATTTTGTATGCAACTGAATGTAGGTGTTGCTTCATAATATATTTGCCTCTGTGCTACTATCTATAGTCAGAACTTCAAGTTGGTGTTATAACTTTATTCAAGACAAAAAATGAGGACAATTAATAGCAGATAGTATTTGTCTAACAGAAAATAAATTATGTTCTCTGTATAGATTTGGAAAAAAAGAAGTCAAAGGAGTTGCTTCCCACATAAATCACTGCAAGAAATGTAACTCCGTATGGTGATAGGATATGTAGCGTTTTTTTTCTTTCAGAGAGCAGTACTATTAACGTGGTTCAAAACAGTTGCACCTATACTAATGCCAGTGCTGATCTGTGTATTACATC